TGAGGCAGACAAAGGCAGACAATGAACCGACCCCAGCCAGCTTTATGACAATTAATTTTAGTACCTTAACATTGGAAATCTATTACCTAAACCTATAATACCCATATCGTATATACATATATCAAATATTATATTGAATGTTGAATTTTCTTAAGCAACAAAGATTTACCTTGTTGTTGGCGCATTTGCAAATGCAAGGAAAATATCTATTTAAAAAATTGAGATATCAATGAAAATTAATTACCAAAAAATTATTTTAAAAAAATTGTATGAAGACAGAGGAAAAATTGAAATTGATTTTATTTCAAATTAGTTTTTATTAAAATCATAAATATTTATTCGCAGGGCTATAAGAAGTGCATTATACTGTTTAGTAAAAAAAAGATATAAAAAATGTACACTTTTAGTACATACACTTAAAATGCACATATTGCAACTCTATAGAGACATATGTAGACTAGTTAAGCGAGCCTTATAATCATGTTTTTGGTTTAAATGGATAAATGGGCAGTTCCTGGATGAAATAGTGCAAATATACACATACCATGAAAATATTTTTACAATATCCATGAAATATTCGTATGTTAGACTAAATTAGATTTTAAGAAACAATTTTTGTGCATATATGCAAACATATTACAACCATCAAATCTCTTTGTTAAGCTATTGAAAATATGCTTAGATATTGTAACTAATAAAGCTTTCCGTGTAGTAATCAATGTTTTACGATTTACTCTGTATTGCATTGGCCCAGCTGGGAAAGCCAAATCCGCCATGGGCCCACACGCTGTGCGACCAAACAAATGACAAAATCAAACAACATTTGAACCCTGTTGGTTGGCCGAAAGATCTAAGCCGAATGTGAAATATGTGCTGCAAATTGGCGGAGCCAGAAGAAAAACGAGCTATGTATGACCATTGCGAATTAAGGTCATTGGCGTAACCGATGGCTAAAGCGGAATCTGTTGCTAAAATCTGTGACTGTGCACTCCACGCATGTGCACCCAAACGGTAGCCGAGCAAAAAGTATATCTCATAGGTAGACATATGCTTAATATGGCCCAAGTGCACATGAATAGATAAATGTGCGGGCCAAAGCCCAGCCAACCAAAATGGTAAACATGCCAAAAACAATTACCAAATGCTGCAAACAACAACAGCCAACAGCAGCAGCAACAACAACAACAACAACAACAACAACTGCAAAAGTCGAGAGCAAACACAGAAAACATTGCAAAAATAGCCGTACCAAAATAATAATAATAATAATAATTGTGGCCAATTGCTGTTTAGTTGGCAGTTAATTGCAACATGGCCAAGACAGCAAAGCTGCACGAGTTGGTCCGCCAAAAAGTTCTCCGGGTCTTGTTGTTCTTTTCCGCAAATGCAAAGCCACTCGAATTTTAGGCAAAGGCCAATGAACCGGTTCGAAACGTGAATTCGTTAATTTTTTACAGATGAACAAAAAAAGTACATGTACTAGAACAAAAAATCATGAATTCATGTTTAATGCATGATTTTTCGATCAAGCATGAATTACAGTTAAAAAGTTAATGAACTAGTTCCAACAGCCAATTTTCAAAGACGAATTCGTTAAACTTTTACATTTGAAAATTAAATAATATTAGCTAGCTCCAAGAACTATGCATCAATATTAAATTAGAATATTTCAAAAAAGTGAAAACAAATACAATATGATCTACTTCCAAAAATGATGTTAAAATCATGAACTCGTTAAGTTTTCTCATTAAATGTTAAACAAAGTATTACAAAATATAAAAAATATATAAACATATATTTAAAAACCAACAAAAAAAATTGTTATGAAAAAGAGATCAATAAACTGCCAAACTTTTGGTTTGTTTTTATATAAAAATAATTGGCATGCTTTCTTAGAGTTTAGATGATAAAGTCATCATATTTGTAAGTTTGCTGCCTTACGCAGTTTTAAAAATATTTTAAATAAAGGATGTTCTCTGAAATTCTCCATATATAATACAACTGTTAATTATTATTATGTAAAGAATACTAAAGGAATTCTGCTGGCACACTCAGATTAATATTTTTATGGAATTAAAAATTAGCCTGTTTTTATTGTTATTCTATTATTAGATAGAGACAATTTGCACCAAAATCTAATTTTGGGGGTTTGTTCGATTAATCGAAGATTAAAATTATTAAAATTATTAAAATAAAAAGTTGAAAACAATTTTGTTGCAATATTTATTTTCCGATATTTTCGGCTGCATATCGGCAACCGTCTTGGAGATTAAAACTTTGAATTTCACAATGCTGATTGCTTGCCGACTTCGGACTTAAAGATAAAGTTGTCTAAAATAATTAGAAAAAAAAACAAACACATAATAAAATTTAAAAGTTTATTTTTATTGCTTATTAAGTCTGTTGCTGCAGCAAATTCTTATTAAGTTGTTTGTTTTTAAAATGTTATATAATTTTTGTTTCAGCTCTGAAATGATATAAAATTCATTTCAAGACGACAAAGTCGATCAGAAAGTACGTTGTTCTAATTTATGATTTTAATCCAAGAATGCTGCATGCAAAACTCGTCTGTGCCTCAACTTGTTTAAATTTCCTGACATTTCTGTCATTTCTCAGCCAGAGATTAGATGTGTTTTATTTATAGCTTAAAAGTAAGCCAAAAATCAAGTTGTTTAGTCACAGGGTTTTGCCAATTCTGTATGCAAGCTCATATTTCCTACTAATATTTAAATGCAGAACTTTGACACTTTGGTGGGATATTGAAAATCTTATTTTGCAGCCCTCGTTCTTCTTGCCAAATGCAGAATGCAGTCTCTGGGCTCACGTCCACGTCGTCATCGTCGTGGCTGGTTACTGTAACTTGGCTGGCTTTTGGCTTTGGCCGTGCCGCAATTACCAAGACAGGCAGCTAATTTTATTTGCTGTAAACGTGCGCCTCAGTCTGCTGTTGCTGTTATTAGAGCTGATTTTTTCGGTGGGAATTATTTGACGATGACTTTTCAGGCGTTGCGTGTCTGGAGCGCATTAGACACCACCAGCAGCCAGTCGGGGCAAACAAAAAGCGTCAGCGTCAATTGAGTTGTCAGCCAAGTGACAAGCCATTACTCAGGGTGGTCTTTGGGTATATAAGTGGTATGATATCCAAGCCGGACTCGCAGTCTGTTATTTTCGGGGTGTTAATGGAAGGCGTTGAAATGTTCAAAATTTAATTTGTTTTCTGCTTTTTTCGGCCATAATATGCAAATTGAACAGGAAATCGCCGCAACAGCCGATTGTCAACATTTGATTTAAAAGTGATACAATGGCTTTAATAGACACAAAAGAATCCGTCAAATATTGCCAAAAACTGGTTCGCTTGAAAGTAAAACTTAAGTTCAGTGTTAGCAACAACAAGTTTCATAGATTACAAAGCGCATTATTATTATAGTGAAGATTTGCTGACAATAAGAAACAGTATTAATGAAAGCAGCGCTGCGTTTAGATATACGAAACCTTAATACTCTTCTCAGATAACTCAACGTATTTAAAGCTGACATAACTACGTAAGTTTCAAAATATTCATATGAGAGAATAAGAATATTGTAAATTAATTCATTATTATACTTTGAGCAGACGGTTAGTTACATTTTACTGATTTAATCTCTTGCCTCAAGCTCGCATTCTTTAGTAAGAAGTTCGAAGCTTTCGCTACAATCAAAAATTATGTAAATTTTTCATCCTCTTGGCAACGAAGTTTTTAAGTTTTGTGTGCTATAGTACGGTTGTCATGTAAGACCTTTAAAAGATGTTAAATTAATAAATTAGGAAATACAAATTTGTAAGAAAAGCCAGCCAGCCAACCTTTTCTTAAATACATTTGTACTTTATTTAAATTTAAGGATAAGAAAACTTGTATGAATGTATATTAAAAGGATAGACTAGCCGGTATTACTTATTCTATGCTGCTTGTCATATATATTTCAATTTCTCATTATTCTTAGGTATATATTTAATGATCCACAAGCCGCATAACATATGTAAGAAGCTCAGCACATAATTGGTTATTGCCATCTTTTTGGACAGTTCGCGGTCGAGTGAGTTGCATAACCTTTTTGCAGAGGCTTGTCAGAGTTTATGTAAGAGTGAAATGAATGCCATTTAGATAGCATTTAGCTTGGCGTGGTTCACAATTTGCCTGACCATATTCCGGCTGTACATACTTAGACGTGTACTAGTTCCATATTTGGTGCCTATTTTGTCAATGGCTCTGGCTGCGGCCACAAGACCGAAGCCTGAGCCCAGTGAAGTGAAGTCGTGTTGAGACAAAGTGCAATAATTCACACTCACTTTGGTGCGACCCATTGGGCTTGTATATGGGCTGCCACAACACAACGCGAATCGACATGCCGCATGCCGCATGGTGCATGGTGCATGCAATCCATGCAGATGCCGAGCAAAAATTATGCTTGAACTGAGGTGATTATGAAATTTTACATGCACACGCTGCCACTTTGTATAGTTTATGAGTTGATAAAGCAGGCGAGGCGTGTCTATCGGGCAGCATCGAGAATTCCGCTTGAATTGTTCGAATAAAGTTATTAAATTGAATTTATGATTTCTATAATCAAAACACGAGCGTGCAGTTGAAAAATGAATTGTTTGCCAATTTCAAAGTGCCACCGGCGATACGTGTATTTTCCGTTAACAATTTATGACTAATTTAGGCATGATTTATCCAAATGTACATAAAACAATATTTAAAATTGCGGCCATCTAGCCGGCAAACTTATTGTCAGGCCACAAGAGCTGAGCGCTTGCCAAAAATAAAATATGTTTACGAATTTAATTAAGTTAAACAAAGGCCATGGACAGCAGCTCGCATCAAAACGATAATCAAATGCATTCTATTCTATATTTTTTTGTATATATTGTGGGCGCACCTTAGCCAAGACACAAACCGTTGATGTATATTCGCCTGGCAGCTTCGCTTGCAGCTCGGCTGCGACTGCGGGTTCGGCTTCGGCTGAGCCTAAAGCCTCGGCTTTCCGGCTGAGACGGATCGAAGCTGTTCGAGTCGCTGGCTACTTCAACTTGGCGTTGCATAAAAAGTGGTTCAGTGGAGCAAACGGCTTCAGACTGAAAGCATCGCGTGCGCGGCTAAAAGTATCTCAAAGATATTTACACTTTAAGTTAAACGGCGCGGAAGTGAGGTGTAGGTGTTTAATAAATAAACTCTTTAAATAAATCTATTGTGCTCATCCAGATTCTTTTTGAATTTATAAAGAAATTATACGGGCTTCTTTATTTATCTGTGTCTTATGCAAATTAAAACAATTGTTGCAAATTCGAATAAATAAAATGAATATAAATTTCTAGAGAATTTTGTTCTTCCTATATGTTAATTAACATTTATAAATATAAATTTGCATTTGCAGCTACGACGTATACGTAATATTTGGATACATATATATTTATAGGCGGTTGCACACTGTTATAAATTAATCGAAGGTAAGTTTTCTGTGCGCTTTGGAGGCTATTTTGTTTAAGAATACAACTAAAAAATAATTATAAGAGAATGCACTTATATATATTTTTAAATTAATATATTGAAGTAGTAAAAAGGTTTATTATTTATTAAGGAACTAAAAGTCAAATTTAACTTCTAAATTGCTTTAAGTTTCATAAAATAAATATTTTTTAAAGTATTTAAAAAAATCTGTTGAATTCAATTAAAAATTTCACAACTCATTTATTGTCATGGAAATTTATTAACATTTAAAATTTTTGTTCGTGAAAAAAACGTTTAAATACAAATGCAAATAATACACAAAAAATTAATAAAGCTGCTCTTTAAAAAAACTTTGATTAGATAAAAAAGTCAGTTCAGCTGGGACAGACATAGAATACTAGTAAATTATATAACTTGATGCTGCCTGTGTTAAACGGCTTGACAATAAAAAGCAAGACATTCGCGAAATGTCGCCAATATAAATACACAATTAGACATGTTAAAATAAAAAATTTATTGCGACTCATTGTATTATATTCTAGATCAGGTTTCTCCTTTGTCAAGACAACAACAATGACAAGTCGGTCGCACGAACAGCAAATTCCAGATTTCACCATAAAATATATCAGTAAAAGTTTGCAATTACAATAACAATATTCGATCTCAATACTTTGAATTAGCTTTAATCAATCGGACAGATGTCAGTCGCTGCAAGAGAGCTAAGATAACTGGACAAATTTGCATATTAATTTTAATTGAGCGCACAACATAAAGACACTGAAAATTACGAGAGTACGCGAGTACGAGACGACGATGAAGTGCAGTCAGTAAATTGAAATTGAAAATGTCAAATTCGAGTAACAATTCCAGATTCAAATGAAATCGAGCTGAATAAGCCATTGGAGCCGCAGCTGCGGTAGGTCCAACAACCGTTTGCTTGTAATGAACACAAATTAACATACAATACGAGCTGCCAGCGACAGATTGTCAAACACCAAGGCGAACAAATGCTCCGAAAGTGTGGACTCCAAAGTGTCCCAAATATCTGCTGAGTCTGTGCTCTGCTCTCTGGACCTGAACTCCTGTCTAATGAATAATTCATGTACTGCAGTCGATAGACATTTGTTGGCTCTTACGTGCAGCGTGTTAACTGCTTAACGCATTTTATTTTCATTTGGCATTTCAAATATGTGCGAAAATCTATTGAGTTGAGCCAGTTTGTTGCCTAAGTCTTTTGATTGCCAATTGATGGTCATCAAATTTGTATGGCCACGCATATGGCTTGTTATATATTCTGTATAAGCTATTCAAAATCCTTCACTTCCGGCTTGAAAGTAAATGTTTGGCCCAAGTCAGATTACATGATGGCATTGGCCAAGCTTAGTTAAATAAAACTTGACTAAAATTCGCCAAATAAAAAGAAAAAACGAATATCCGATTTGCATATGCAAATTTGATTCCCACGACTTTTAATTGTGTGCGAAAAACACAAAACCAAAAAAACATTGAGCTTGGACTTGAGGATCTGCGATACAATTCTGATTACTTGATTGACATTTAATGCTCTATTCAGGGACTAACAAAACAGAAGTCAGCACGTATTATATATTATCAGATATATTAGACACTATGCAAAAACTTTGTTTAATCTTTGTGTGCATCTTTTACTTACTTGCCATAAATATATATTTTGACAACTTTAATTAACACCCGGGCTAAGGCCATTAATGCGTTCAGGCTGCAAATTAACGAACCGCATTAAATTCACATTTTATATACTCTAGCACAGAGTACAACCAAATGGTCTCATTGACTATATAAGGTAGCGAATTATTCAAATATGTATGTAAATATGTCGATGTCATATATACATATATGTGTGTATATAAATGCATATGGAAAGGAGTTACATATGCCTTTCTTTATGGCATATTTATAATATTAACACAATGTTGTAATAGGGAAGTCTCAAATACATATGTATATGTATATGAACATAATGTATTTTGTTTCTTCGTGAAAATGTTGTTGTGATTTTCAGTTTGGATAATATTTTTAATAGTTTTAAATATTTAGAAATTTATTTTGAAAATTTTATGTAATTTTTTATGTTTTATATAAGTTAACTTTGCTAAAAAGTTGCTAGAAATATTTTTTCTTTAGTTGGATTTTGAGACCAGGAACAATTAAATACGAATAGATATATTGCTTACTATACACAGCAAAAAACCTTGCTCGATGTTTTATTTCAAACATTTTTGGTTCTGTAAGAGTATTAAAGTTTCTGTAAAATTAGAATAATTTTATTCGCACACCGTTTTGTAGTTTGGATAACGCAGGTAATAAATAAGCAAAGCTATGACAGCTGCTTGACTAATAGAACAGGGAACACAGATATTTATCTTAATGAAGTCGACGCATTGCCAGCCAAATTGGACTTGGTTCTAACCACGACAGGCAGCCGCTTGCGGCAGGGCGAGCCACATGCCAGACTGCGCCCAGAAATGCGTACGGCCTGATTGACATTTGCCAGGCTCACAAAAAATAAGACAAAAAATAAATAAAGTGCATTACCAGACGGACTCAAGTGAAACTAACGACATTAATTGAGTTTCCACCAGAGCGGCTCAAGTGATTGCCTAGTCGATCTCACCTACCAGACTCGCATTTGGAGCGGCCCGATTTGGAGCAGGCATCTCTGGTATAACCTCAAGTGCATTCAAGGCCCCTGTTGGCTGGGCGTACCCTGTTCGGCTGTTGGTTGTGTAACAAATGGAATCAATTTGGTTAGGCTTACAAATTAACCAACATTTTTGGTTCAAAGTTCAATTGCAAGAGTTTAGCGTTAACAACAACAATAACTGCAAAGTCAGCTCCCAAGAGAGAAACTTTACGTAATGACTTGTTATCAAAACATACATAAACTACAGCTACATATAACAAGGGCAACAACACGAATTGAATGCATTCGTCTAAAAATCAACAGGCATTCGACACGCGAATCACAATTGTAAATCAAAAAGAAGCCCATGCAGGCAGAGGCCCAACTGATTGAGCCCAGCGGGCAATCTGAAGTAAGGAAAAAAAGATTGTAACTAGAAATCGTAACGAAGTTTAAGACCATCAAAAGTGCATGAGTCTATTAACATCTGAAATCAGTTAAGAATGTTGGTTAATTAAATGCAGTAGCCGAATTGAACTAAGGTGACCTTCAGCTCGACACAAGAGTCCGTTGCTTTGATATTTGCTAATGATGCTCTCATTGGGAATGTAGTATAGGGAATCTTTTTATTCAGGTCAGTTGAGAAATGTATCCAATACCTCAATTTAAATATCATTGTCACGTTCTTTTACCCTTGTTGAGGGTATTATAATTTTGTCATGAAATGTGTAAAGTTCAGTAGGAGACAACACCGAACCCATTAACCCATTAAGTCGAACAAGTCCCTTAGTTTAAAAGCTAACGTCTTGATACTTTGCGTCGTTCAGTTATTCTGTTGCAGGCAGTACACATTTTGGAACCAGCCTGATTGGACCAGTACATCATATAGCTGTCGTAGGAATGATCGTTTGAAAAGTAGGTTCCAATATAAACAACTTTTTTTGCTTTCCAAACTTTATTTCCTGCTAAGAAAATTAAATATTAATTCTACTTCTTACTTCTTACATTAAATATAGACAGAGTACTTTTAAAGAAATAATCACGCCTCAAACAAAAACTACAAGTTTATATAACAATAAAACTTATTTATTTATTTATTAAATTACCTATATTTTCCCTTGAAACAATTTTAACTCACTATTATAATTATGGCTAAAAAATAATGAAAGAAGTGCCTCAATATCTCAGCGGGTTATCCTGTTGTGACTCGTATTACACTCACAATTTTGTTGATAATGATTTGTGTTAAATGGCACAGAAGTCGTCTGTCGAAATTTGATTTGGAAACATTCATTAAGAAATCAAAGCAATTCTCTATTTATCGCGCATTATTACAAAAGGGTTTTTGTTTACAATGCCCTGCGGCGTTGGTCAGCCAAAAGTTCAAGCGTTTGGCTATTATGAGTGTCTTATTTTTGGCCAGAGTTCAAAGACGGGTTCAATTGGACAGTAAGTCAATCAGTTTTTCTTTTGGGTGTGTGGGTGAATCGAGGGGGGCGGGGGATTTGGGTTTTTGGGGTTTGTCAGTTATTTGGCCAGTCACGCATGCCTTTCGATTTCTACGAATCTCTGTGGTGATTACTCAACTCAAATGCGAGCGCAATGCAAATTTATCTTTTGCCTGAATTTGCATTTCTCAAAACAAAGTTCGTGATATGTCACAGGCGTTAGAATGTGCCCCACCAAAACAAAAAAAAGGAGGACAGCCTCGGCACCACCAACAACAATAGCAGCAACTACAACAACAACAACAACAACTGTGACAGCATTAACAGCATTTAGTTGACACTTTGTGGCAATTAGCAGAGACTCAAAATTGACATTCGAATTGGCAGCGCGTCGTATGCCAATTGTCTTCTCCAGAAATTTGTCGGCTACTCCGATTGCAAGTATGATAATATATGGGTATATATTTGTTTATTCATGTCATTATATTAGTATGATGAGTTTATTGCGGCTTTGTTAAATGAGCTTCATTATAACAAATGACAGACAGCGAACTTTAATTTTTTAGAAATTTTTTAGCATGTGTAAATAAAAAAGGCTAAAAATGCTATAACAAGGGGAAGGCAGACACGACCTATAAAAAATATATATATATAATATATACGATGCATATTTAGTGTATCATGATTAACAGAATAAGTAAAACACGGTGGATAAAGTTTTAATGCAAAATAAATAATGCTTTATTGGACAACAAAAATTGACCTAATTAGGAGTATTATAGTATTATCGTATTATATAATTATTTATATATATTTTTTTAAATAATTTTAAAATAATTAAGAATATAAAAAAGTATGTATATATTTTATTACTGTATGAATATATATA